GGAGCAGAAGCACGAACCAGAAGCGGAACCAGCGAAGAAGAAGAAGAAGAGAAGAAAAGAAAAGAAGAGAAGAAAAAGAAAAAGAAGAAGAGGAGAGAGAGAGAGTTGGTGGGGCTGGTCAGCAGGCGTGGGGGTGGTCAGCGGAAAAAGGAGGAAGAGAGAGAGAGGAAAAGGTCAAATATCGCACTCAAGTGCGATTCGACGGTCACGATTCAAATCCAAAAACGATCTAATGGCTCACAAAAATTCTTAATTAACAATATAGGAAAAAGGGCCGAAAGAAATCAAATAAAACACACTACGAGAGAAGTCTACTAGTTCAAATTCGCACCCGGTCAAAATTTCACTTTTCGCATAACCCAGGTAATATCGAGGCTGGCCACAATAATATCGGCACCGTTCAATTAAATTTGTCCCGAAACTCTGAGAAATTCGACACCAAAGTTTGGACTCTAAATAACGGCCAAATTCGATCGAGTGCGATTCTAGCGAAATCTCAATTTTAAAAACAATAACCGAGAGTGATCAGTTTCCGGGCGAGATTTTACTATAAGCACACTGACGAATTACACGTTTTATAAATCCCAAAAATGGGCCGAAATTCGGAATGTCACAGTGGCGGTGGTGTGGCATGGCGGAGGGGCGAACGGCGGCTCGACCGAATGGCGGCGGACGGACGTGCGGCGGCGGCTAAGGGCGTGGCCGGCTGGCCACTTCACGTGAGGGAGGGGGGAAAAAGGAATTCGACCGAGAGAGGGGAGAGGGAGAGAGATACGTGAGAGTGAAGGGGAGAGAGAGAGAGAAAAGAAAATAAATACTAAGGCTCCGCTCGTTTGGCAAAAAATATTCTTCCGGAAAATATTTTCCGGGTTTTCTGGTGTTCGGGGGGCGGAAAACGTTTTCCGTGGGAAAATATTTTCCTTCCCCCCCTCACAAAATAGCCTAAGTCTATGGAAAATGATTTCCGCTTCTTTAAAAGCGGAAATCATTTTCCGGAGCTTCTTCTTCTTCTTCTTCACTAAGGTCGCCGGCCGCCGGTCGCCGACCGCCGCCGCCGATCGCCGGCCACCGCCGCCGCCGATCGCCCGCCGCCGTCGGACGCCGAACGTTAGCCGCCACCGGTCGCCGTCGCCGCCGCCGCCTCCGGACGTTGGCCGCCGGTCGCCGGGCGTTGGCCGCCGCCGGCCGCCGCCGCCGCCTCCGGGCGTTAGCCGCCGGTCGCCGGACGTTGGCCGCCGCCCGGCCAGTCGCCGGCCGCCACCACCGGTCGCCGGCCGTCGGCCGCCGGTGAAAAATATTTTCCGAAACTTTTTCATATTGATCGCCGAACACCGGAAAATTATGTTCCGGGAAAATATTTTCCGAAAGGAGAATATTTTCCGCCAAACGAACGGAGCCTAAGGCACCAATAATTGGTGTCTACCCACCCAAGGAAATTACCATCTTGCCCTCCTCTCTACTTTTCATCCGACGGCCACGATTCAATCTTATCCAAAAATCGACGGCCAAGATCAATTCTTTCCAAAAATATCAAAGGGTAAAATTGGAATTTCACAAAAAGTACAGGGGTAAAATCGTCCAAAAATTTATATCTCTAAAGTGGGGTGAAATGACCAAAATGCCATTCCACTTTTATACTTAGCCTTAACAAAGTCCTAGGGGCAAAACGGTCATTTTCCACCTCCTGTCAAAATTTCAGTTTTCTGACGAATCCGAACAAATCCGAGACTAACCACGATAATAACAACGTCGTCCAATTACTCTGTCATGACTTTCAAGATTTTCGACACCCAAACTCAATCTTCATTTAATGACCAAACTCAAATAAACGCGACTTGAGCTTATCTCAAACTAACGGGCGGCTTTTGGGAAAATTCGTATATTCGACCCGTGGTCGATATTAAATCAAGCCACATTTAAATTCACTTGAGCCATTGTGACCTCGATTGTCATGTAATTGCGATGATCAATCATTAGTTCTAAAGAACGCGATCGTTTGGAATAGGTTTGAGATCGTTTGCAAATTTCGTATTCTAGCAAGGCGGAATCACCCGCGATCCAATTATACGACATTCGAAAATAGATCCATGACTATCCTTAGATCGGTCTATATTAGCCCAAAATATCACATTGACAATCCTTATGGTCGAAAGTCAGTCCATGGTCAGGTTCTATGGTCGCGCGAATCTAGATCCCTAATTAGCCTTTCCCTATTGGTTAGTGTCCCAAGAGTGATCAAGTCTGGGCGAGATTTACTACAAGTGCGTTATTGAAATTACGCATTTCATAAATACCAAGTGGGTCGAAATTTAGAATGTCACAAAGTTGGTCGAACAAACCGGCGATGAGCGGGATCGGGTACTTGTTCTTGATGTTCTACTTATTCAGCTCCAGGTAATCAATGCACATACGAAGCAATCCGTTTCTTTTGTAACAGAACCAGGGTGCCAAACGGAGCCTTCGATGGTCATATGTAGCCGGCATCAAGCAACTCCTCGAGTTGTCTCTGCAATTCTTCCAACTTTGGTAGTTCCATACGGTAGGGTGCCATGACAGGTGATCAAGCATCAGGCACTAGCTCGATCCAATGATTCACCTCCTTTCAAGGTGGTAGCTTCTTCGGCGGCTCAGGAGGCATCACGTCCTTGAACAAGTTGAGGACTCAGGCCACCTTCATCAAAACTTCATTTACGTTGCCTTCGGGTCCTCGGCCTTTAAAGTGGTCACAAAGCTCATCTCCCATTTCTTTTCTCCTTTAGAAACTTGCATTGCCGATAGCATTTCCCGATTCACGATTTATCGGGACCACACATTGGCCATGTGTGTCGAGTATACAAATGCAATTGGCAATTGGGACAACGAGAGCATCTACTCTATCGAGGAAACCCAAGCCAATAACGAAATCATAGTTATCAAGTGGGATTACCTTGATAGTCTCGGCAGTGTGATTCTACGGCTGAGATATCGCATCTTGTAGGTCTCTCACCGTGAGATCGAAAAGACAAAAATGTCGTATGCCTGGTACAATACTCATTTTGATGTCGTAATCATTTTTAATCGATAATATATTTTTCAAGCAGATCAAATGTATTATGTTGTGAATACATTCACCAATCAACAACAATATAATTATCGAATTATCTGTTAGTATTTTCTGTTTGATTAATATTATTTTGGCGACACTAAAGGTGACGCATCAGCTAGGTATGTGATGTATGGTTAGATTTTTAGTTGTCCAAGACAAGACATTGCTCCATCGGATGTACGTGGAGAAACTCTTTTCCAAATTAACACAATTCAATATTAGACAAATTACGGAAATATCAATTAATTAACTAATTAAGTAAATATTACAAGTATCCTTGTGAATTGTGCAATCGATACTTTGAAATTTGAAATGATTCTTGTGAATAATATTTAATAAACTTCTACGGATGTTTATTAGTTAGATCCAATTTACAAAGTAAAAATAAATAAATAAATAAATAATAAAAGGTAAAAGAAAAGGCTAGAAGAGCACTTTGTCATTGAATGCGACGCATAAGGAGCCTCTTGCTTTTTTAACAGCTCAACCAATTAAAACGGGACCATGTCCAAAGAAAGCATTGAAATAAATAATTTGAAAATATTTTTTTAAAAATAATCATTTGTATCTCTTATAAAAATGAATAAATATCAATAAAAATATTTTTCGTCGATTGATTATTCTAAGCGATATAAATTATTATGTTATAGAATTATTCGTTTTTTCATGAAATAAATAGAGATGCGTATTTAAATTCACGACTGTTATATGAACTGTTTAATCAAGCTTTATTTAAAGCACACGTCGACGTCGTTGCTAATGGGGCGGACTGGTTCCATTAATGTTGATCTTGGTCCACGAGCGGACATATTTGTTTTTTCTGTCATCGATGAGGATAAGATAAGCTTCAGAGAAGGTGGGCGCACAAGAGGCGTGGGCGACCTGGGCGAGGAAAACACTCGATTTTCTCTTTTTTACAAGACAAAACTCAACGATTATAGACCTCATAAATTCCTAAATCACAGTTGTCAAATCGCAATAATGATGGCGAATTTTCTTCGGGGAAAATGATATTGGAACGAGTGTATCATTTGGTGCTTTAAAAGCTACTTCATTGAATGAAAATTCATATTATATCGCGCTAGATCCAATTTCACTCGACTTTTTTTTTGTGTGAACGGTCGCTTTCGGACCTTGGAAAGAAATAAATGAAGGCTCGATTGAGAAGAGGGGGTTTGCGCACATTGGAATTAGTAGGAGAGAGGGAGGTCTTTTAGGAAGTTTATACTTTTGAGGATGTAATGGCATGTAATCCTATAGTTCATGTTACTTTTGTAATTAGGTTATCACGTCTTCAGTTTACCCGATATAGTCTTTTGACTCAACACGTTTCTGCAAAGAAAGTCACGTCGGAAATTGCAAACTCGATTATGCTAAACGGCAAATGGCATGCCATCTTCAATATCAAACCGATTTCCATGCGCGTAATTCCCCCGTGGCACCACTCCTTTGTTATCTCTATCGGTTTTCTCTTCGAGCCTTGGGCTTCCAACCGAGTAGTCATTACATTTGGCCTTCTGACCAAATATTGTTGTCACATTTGGTCGTTTTTTTTTATAACTTATCGAGATAATCTAAAATTACGTCGTCAAAGAGCCTATACCTCCCGATGTTCGCCGTCGAGATGGCTGCATCCATAGCCACTTTGCGTCAAGCTGCCTAATCCTCCAATTAACTCGCTCTGATACCACGTGACGCAGTTAGAACAAGGATAACGCGAATCGCAATTTGCAACACGAGTAAAACTTGCAAACATGCAGGAAGGGAGACGCAACACACTAAGCATAGAGACTTAGTATTTTTCAAATTCAATGTCAAAAGCTGTCTTTACAATGCAAATAAAATCAATATCTAAACTTCAAATCCTAACAAACTCTAAAGAAGTAGCAATCCAAATCGGGAACCAAGAATACCGTGTAAAAGAAAACAGATCATCTTACAAAGATCACAGTCTTGGCGAGTATCCGACCCGCATCAAGCTCCTCCTATCCAAGAAATGCAGAAGTAACACTGAAATGTCCCAACCAAAAGGTTGAAAAAGTGGAGATCATTTGACCGGCGCAGAAGGAGAATTTGTTCGCAGAGAGGTGGGAAAAGGAAAAGATTGCCCGACAAAGTTCAAATGGAACGCAGAACGACGAACGGACAGATGGAAAATGGGAAAAGAATGGTAAGAAAATGGCAACAGGCAAAAGCAAACAAAGCAAAAGAACAGCCGACAAGACAGAGGTTTGGTCTGGTTTGGTTCCATTCGGAATCCGAGTGTCTTTGCCTGCGTCCCCGTGGACCACGTTGTCCGTGATTTGCAGTGCTGGAGTGAGCGAAGAACTCTCCACAGACAAGCCTCGATCCTTCACGTGGCCTGATGAACAGCAGTCCAGACTTCAGACCCAGAAGACTTCGTGCAACTATGTCTGCGTTTCTTCCTGGTTGAGCAACCAATTTTCCTTTTTGCTCTCTGCCCAGAATCGATTGGAGTGAGTCGAGCTAGAAAGTCTCGATTTTTACGTTTTTCGTCTTGATCCCTGTTCAGGATTTATCAGAGCCATTGCTGGTTCCCAGTGGTGGTGAGGCTTCTCTCTGTGAGATCCTGCTCTAGCGGGTTCAAGCTCGAGAATGAACGAATCGGATTTCGAGGTCTTAAGCGATGATTCTCGGGTTAAACCGGGGTGCAGGACACTGCAGAGAAATGGGTCGTCGTTGGTGCTGGACAGTGAGAGAGGAGAGCTCGTCGAGGCCTGCGTGAGCGCCAAGAGGAAAATGGCGCCTGCTGAGAGGAATGTTGATGCCTTGAAGAATCACAGTGAGGCGGAGAGAAAGCGGAGAGCGAGGATCAACGCGCATCTCGACACTCTTCGGGGGCTAGTTCCCGAGGCAAAGAAGGTAGAGATTGATGCGCTTTCTGTGGTTGTTGGTTTGAGTCGTTTCCAGTTTTAGCTGGTACAATGATGTCGACTGTTTGAATTCTTAAGGGCGAGTTGGGAGCTTGTCAAACGAAAGGGCATGATTTTAGAGGAACATGTCGGTGCTTATAAGATTATTGCTACTGTCTGAAGTAGTCTCAGGATTTTTTAACAAAAGTTTTGAAGGGAGTTCGTGTAACTTGGGCTGTCATGTTTCTTATTTGGTATGATGAGTCCAACCACCTGGGGAGTGCCATTCGAAAAAAATATTGTCTATTGAATGTTTACGATATTTATGATGAGAAGCAGTCCAAAAGGAGTCCTTTCGGTTCATGTTAATCGGACCTGATATGTTGATTGTTGAGAAATGGCTTGGGCAGTGCTCTAATTATCCGTCTTCGACATACTGAGATTCTCCCAAAAATGGACAAACGGCCTCATTTCGAAGTCATTAATTTTGTGGAGAGCGATATTGTTATCCATAAAGTACTACTGAAAGAAGTCATTTCAAAAGGATTCTAAATGCCAGCGCAAAATAGAAAGAGTCTGCTCTTCAATAGTTGTATTCCTCTAAGATCCATTATGCGTAGATTTTTGCTCTAAAGGCTGGCGAGAGAACTGGGTTTTTTCTGCTTCAAAACTCGAATTCATGGTGAATCTCTGGTCTTTTTTGCAATCAGGGTCACTTTGTAATGCCAATGTTGCTGTAACTTAAGATTTATGAAATGTTAGCTAAATTGCAAATTTGGATGTCACAGATGGACAAAGCAGCATTGCTTGCCGAGGTCATCAACCACTTAAGAAAGCTGAAAAGAAATGCTGATGAAGCCATGCAGCAGTATGTGATACCAACATATGCTGATGAAATAAAGGTGGAGCAAGAACAGGGTGAAGTATTGGATTTAGAATTGGAAACGATGAAGGCATCAATTTGTTGCGACTACAGACCCGGTCTTCTCTCCAATCTAAGGCAAGCGCTTGTCAATCTTGGATTGATTGTGTTGAGTGCAGAGGTTGCCACCTTTGAAGGAAGGATGAAAAGTATTATGGTACTGACAAGATGCCATGAAGGAGATGAGACATTGTGTCAGTTTCTATCAAACTCTCTGCACTTGGCCCTTTGTTCAATAGTCAATCAGTTCTCGACTTCAGAGGAGTCTCCGAGGCCCTCGGTGTCGAACAAGAGGCGAAGGGCTTAATTATACAGTTGTGAACGATCTTAAAGAAGCTAGAGAAATTTAACTTCCGAGAGAGTCGACTTCTATAGTAAATGGAACATCTTCATAAGTACTGATGAAGTTCCATGTGTTCTTTTCTTCCTTCTTTAGTGAGGTGAGCTTGTAAAGATATTTTGTGCCTGAAGCTATGACTGACTGGATCATCATTGGTACTATGAAATAATTTAAGGAAAGTATACTTGAGTATGGGGTCTGTTGTACGGAAACTTATCCTGAATGGTTAATGTAAGACATGCTAATGGACACTCATCAAGGTAGGTAGTTCTCTAATAATAGACACTCATCAAGCTATGGCTGCTATTCCAGCAAAAACATGCCAGGAATCTAGAGCAGTTGTGAAGTGATGATCAGTGGGATAAACATCACTTCACCGATGCGGTGTCGAATTTCATCTGGACTCAAGTGGTCAAGTGTTCTGATGTCGAGTCAGCAAACTGGTGATGATCAGCAGGAATTAGGTCCCATCTGCCATGACGTCTGGACGGTCTATGCATTTTCGTTCTGCAGGTGTTCACCTCAAGTTACAAATTTAGTTTGCCAAGACTTGGGACATCGGCAAACGAAGTCTGCCAAGACTCGGTTAATACAGTATCAGCACTGGGGCATAAGAAATCAGACAGATCGCTAGGGGAAAAACTGAGGAGCCAAGTTGGTGTCGAGACTCAACAGCACATTTAAAGATTGCAGCCCGCTAGACGATCTCCATCAGACTGAATGTCTCAGTGAGTCCCTTTGCCGACTTCGACATGATTCCGGACAATAAGACTTCCTAGCATCTTCCAATGTGAACTTTGTCGGATGCTATAGGAGTCAAGTTGTAATGCTCCTGTTATGCTTGCTCCGAATGGCTGATCTGTTAAAGAGTAACTTTTATCAGCTTGCGTGCACAGTGTGTTCTGTCTTACTTTATTATTCTCAAATTCCGTTCATTTCGGTCAGTTCTCCTTTAACTTCCATCGGCATCAGTGACTGGTGTTTTTGTTCGTGCGGCGGCAAAATCGAGCATGAATTGCTTGTCAAACTTCGAATTCTTTGAGGAATCAAAAGCATATCCTGCTGTGAACAAAAAGAAGATAATTTTAGTTGCACAGTCAACCAGAATTAGGATAAAGACCCCCCAAAAAAACCAGAATTAGGATAGTTTGGTTATGGAAAAAGTGAAGTTAACCCAAAAAAAAGGAGAAATTTTTGGGACATGAAAGTTCAAATCCATTCTTCTTTGGGTGTTTTTTGGCTGATCAAATTACTAAAAGCTTCGACCAAAAAAAAAATTACTAAAAGCAGTCTGACAAAAAAAGAACATTACTAAAAGCAGAAAGATACCGCATATGGTAAATCATCAAGAATCCCCTCTCATCCACGTGTCAACACACTATTGCTCCACTAGATTTCGCGCCACGCAGACAAGGCAGTAGACAGTGGACACCATCCTGCTTCTGGCTCATCCTCCTCCTCCTCCGGTCTGCATCGCCAACCTCTCTCTCTCTCTCTCTCTCTCTGTGAGTACTCCAATGGCTTTGTATGCGAACACCCAGAAGCTCTATCTCGGTTCGCCAGCAAGTGGGCACGATGCAAGAACTAGGAGCAACAGCAAGAGAGCGAGAATATTGGTGATCAGAGCGGCAGCGTCCTCGTCGTCGTCCGCCGCGGGAGTGGCGTACGAGAAGGGACAGCTGGAGAGGCCCAAATGGGCGGGGGAGACACCGCTCTCTCGCCTGGTCGGAGCCGTCATCTCATTCAAGCCTATCTATTCTCTTCTCAAGCTCGGCGCTCGGCAAGTCCTCATCAGGTGGTCTTTCTTCTCATTCCATGTGTCCAACTTTATTACTCAATGAAACCTGACTAGGCTTCAATTGCATTACCAATTACACTGCCATTGTGCGCTGCTTTCGCTGTGCTCGCGTAGTTTGATATATTAGATAGATTGAGAATAATGGGGCATGATTTTTTCAGTATTTTCAGACGAGTTTGGTTTTGTTGGAGTTGAATATGGGATGCGTTATGAAGTCCTGCTTCATGGTATGGAAGGTTCACCTGCAACTGGTAGAAGTGCGATGTTAGCTAGCTAGGAGCTGGGAAAAAAAGAGGATGATAATCTGTAACAATTTTTCTTTTTCGGTGAAAAAAGGTGGATTGGGATGAGTATTGGTTGATTGCTGCAGTTTGAAATATTGTTTTGTTGGATCACCATGAAGCTCTAGACTCAAGGCCAGGGCTAAACGCGAATGGGTAATGACCTGGTTTTCTTCTGGGGTCGGGATTTTTGAGAATGCAGAAAAGATGAACACAAAGAAAGAAGCTTTATTATTTTACTTTTCAGAATCTGTCAAAGAAATTCTTGATCTTGTGACTCTGAAAAAAGCGGGAGATGCTAATCCGGTTCTTTCGCATGCAAATGTACAGCACAGCTGAGAAGAATGACGTCCCATGGCGAGACATGACGAGACAGATTCTGGAATCAGATGTTTATAAGGAGCTAGACAGCATTCAAAACCCTTCACTTGAGTACCCAGATTGTACATCTCGTGATTCCTTTTACTCATTATTCTGAATTTTCTTCTCCACATGCTTTTCCTAGATACTGGCTCACCCCTTAGCACACGTATGCACTCTCTTGTTAAGCATATTGCACCAAAAAGAGGGAAAAGCCTCACGTGGGCAAAGCTTTCACTGCAGTTTAATTGACTAATAAATGACAAAATGACTGTTCTTTAAACAGATTATCTGAGTCCTTTCCATGCTTATGATGAGGGTAACCTTTCATGGACGGTGAGTATTTGGTCTTTATAACTTTTATCTTCTTTAGCAATCATTTTGAGAACAAACTTAACTGCCTCTTTCAGAATAATCTTTTGCGCTGTTGAAAATGCTTTACCATTTATTACGGAAAGTAGAAGTCGCTACTTTGCACAAATGGTGTTTTACATGTTTTCTATTATGAAATTATCAAAACATGATAATGAGGATAACATACCCTAGTAAAGCAATTAATACAAATCAAAGCAGTCGTAAATTGTTGCTGCACAAAAAGCTTGCAGGCTGCAGCAGAAGCAGAGCCTGCCACAAAGTCGATGTCTATACGAGCAGTACCTGATGCTAGATCAGCGGATGAGGCAACTCAAGTAGTGCGTGGAAATTGGCTTGAGGCAATTGAAAAGCACCATAGACAGCACTCTGGTGGTTCCATGGTTCGAGACATTCTGGATGTCGGATGCTCAGTAGGTATTAGCACTGGTTATCTTGCCGACACATTCCCTTCGGCAAAAGTCACCGTACGTATATAACCATGTACTCCAATCAGATTCATCTCTTTCCCCGTGGATTGCATTTGGCATAAGATAAGCATAACAATTAATCTTTGTCTGAATGCATTTGCTTTGTAGGGGCTAGATCTGTCGCCGTATTTTCTCTCTGTGGCTCAGTTTAATGAGAGAAAGAGGTCCCAAAGAACAGTACCAATTCAGTGGATACATGCTAATGGGGAAGATACAGGCTTGTCATCCAAATCATTTGACCTCGTTTCAATTTCTCTAATGGTATGGATCTCATCCAGTTGGCAAATAGATCTCATAGCTTTTTGAACTTTTAGCTATTGGCACATTGATTTGGTTCTATTTAAGCCCATTTTATCTATAAAAAACTAGCAAAACCTGAAGGACCGATAAGTGCTGTCACAGTACCCGCATGTTTTGCAATGTAATAATGGATACTTGACATTTTAATTCTCAAGGAACTATATAATGAACAACCGATATGTATGATTGTCATTATTGCTCAATGAAAGCATCTGGTCTCATTGTTTTTGTCATGGGACAGGGCTGGCAACTTGTAAGAGAAGTTCAATGTATATTTTGTTTGACATAATTGTTTCTTTTTCCGATTCTTCTATGTGCAACATTTATTAGCATCTGCTTCCATGCTTCTAACTAAAGAATCACGTACAGTTTCATGAATGTCCTACTAGAGCAATAAACAATGTAGTAAAGGAATCGCTTCGGCTACTTCGACCTGGCGGCACCATTGCCATAATGGATCAAGCAGTGCGTAATTATCTCATGTCACTCGCTAAAGTTTGTTATTGCTGACTCCTTTCTCCATAATGGAAATACTGATATGATCTCCTTTACTCATTGATGCAGCCATCCTCCAAGGTTCTTCAGGTATGGTTCACATTTCTGTAAATTGTTTTGGCTTCTTCCAATGGAATTTTGCAACTGCAAGTATCAGTACTACCTGCTTTCCTTGTTGATGTCATGTTTTTTCATCTACACAAGTTTTTTCTTTTGTCCTTTCCACGAGTTATTCTAAATTACCAAGAATTGGTGATAGAAAGGACATCAATTCCTCAGAAAAAATAGTAGAGGCAAGTGGAGATTCTAGGTTTCGCTAGCAGGGTCTTGCGTATGAACAAGTACCTGATTGCTAATATTAAGGTGGATATCAACTTATATGTCATAGCATTCATCTCATACTAATGGGCTTCAGTCCTTACATGAGACTATTAATGTTCTAATTAGTCAACATTTGACTGATCAGAACATTTTCAACTGCTGCTGCTCACTTCTTTTATACCTTACCAGTCCTAGTACTAAATGGCTTTCTTGTTCGATTGTCATAATCCATTCTTTGTAATCGCTGATGTATATTTCCTGGAGCCTCCATTGCAAAATTGACATTGGAAAAAAAAAGCAAGAAAAATGGAAAATGATCGCGTGAAGTCTAGTTCTAGCTTAGTTGAAAACAGTGTCCTAACTGCTATGCTACGGTAAACTGCACAGTGATTTAATAGTGGGTTTGATTGGCTTAAACTATAATATTAGAACAGAGCTTTAAGTCATCAAATCTCAGAGAGAATTGGCCTTGTGAACAGAAATCGGGAACTAAGCAGCTTCTGAAATGAGTTACTTGTCATTAGCAACATGTTCATTGGCCGAAACATATTTTTCTTTGGCCATTTAACATTAGCAACTTAATCCCTTGCCTTTGCTATGTGCTGCAGAATTTGTCGCCTGTGCTGTTTACACTATTGAAGAGTACTGAACCCTTCCTAGATGAGTATTATCTGACTGATTTGGAAGGAACACTAAGGGAAGCGGGGTTCGTGAATGTAACAGATGTCCTAACAGATTCGAGACACAGAACTGTGACAGCAACCGTGCCTCGTTAAATATGTGGTTGCGAGGATGTCTTTTGCTTCCAGAGCCACAGTAAATGGCGAAAAATAAGATGTCATTTTTTTGAACCTTCATATTAAAGCTCTATGAGGAAAACAAGATAGTTTCGTAAATGATTGTTGATCATTGTCCGCCTCAGTATCCAGAGTCGCATCTTGAGCAGCTGTTGGTTCTCAAAAGTTCTCAGATTTCTTGTTTTGTGAAGTCTTTGGATCGCGAGAATCAACCTATCAAACAATTAAGAGCCTTTTCTCTTGGACAGAGAGATAATCTTTGTACTTTCTCAACAGTGCTAAAGTGATTTGCTCACACTATATGTCTTCAAGGTACTCTGTTGAAGGACGTATTCTCCTTGCTATGGATCCTTCTTCTGATCAAAGCACACCTTATGATTGGAAAAAAATGGTGAAAACTTATTCCTATAATTCAAATTAAATACATATTGACAAAAACAGCTGTAAATCCCATTGAATTGATACCAAAAATATCGAATAATCCATGTTTTTTGACTATATCATGTCAAAGGGAAAAACTTGTTGGTTGTCAACACTCCAAGTCAACTATACTCGAGCTTCCTCTCGCCAATACAGTGGCAATAAAAAGCTTAATTCTCGTGAGAAGACTAATTGGACATATAGCATTAGATTATGCATATTTTACACAGCCTCTCTTCCACACTTGACCTTAATTAATGCTCCATATCACTTTCAACTTTCTCAAAAGGTCAACGCTCACTTGTTTATTCCGTAGGCCGTGATGAGCATAACTTCTTCCTTCTACTGCCCCGACTCTCATCTGAAGCACACTGACAATGAAACAGTTGTTCAAACCAAGCCAGTTCTGGAGCTCTTCATTTACTAAATCCAACACCAACCCAAATCTTCAAGTTCCAGATCCGGAGCCGAAGAAGATGGCAACACCCACGAAACTATCTGGAATCTGCTCTCTGCTGATGGGGTTTCTCTTTGCTTACTCTGCATCTGTTCAACTAGATGATCCAGGTACTGTAACAGATGGTTTTGACTACAGTCCCACAGACATATTTACCGATTGATGGCTATATCCATTTTCTTGCAAAATTTGTCAGATTGGTACTTCTGGTTGCCTCTGTATTCCTTTGCTTGCCTTGTGAACCTGACGAGCCTGGTCTTCTTCACATCCAAACTGGTCCCAAGCATTGGGAGGCTGGCACTTTGGCTCGGGGTGTTCCTGTTCATAAAGGTCGTGGTGGAGGACTACAGGCACAAGATTGCTGGTTTCTGGTCGCTGGACATGAGGGAGAGAGTTGTGAGAGAGAAATTTGGGAGTGGGTTGGTTGTGTTCTCCATGTTTCTGCATCTTGAAGCCACATCCAATCAAAAGGGTCTCTTTACAGCGAAGGATGAAGAAGTTGCCAAATTTGTTGAACTTGGTGAGACTCTTTTGCCCACCTGTTGGCTTTTTTTTTAAAAGTAGATTTAGTGTTATTTCAATTGAAGCCAATGGATTGGCATTGACTTTTGGCAATGATCTTTCAAAATTTCAGGACAGATGATCTTGGTGGGCATTAGCTACGGGCTGTCCTTGGTCTTCTTTGTGTTCCTCAAGGATGTTATGAAGTTTGACTGAATGAATCATGAAGGTATCATATACCCAGAGATGGTCATGTTTGTGTCTATCAGTGTGAGTGTAAGAGCATTTCAATAGCACTATTTCATATGTATCTACAAACTTCAGTTTACGAAGGACGGATTCATAACTCTTCTTCTGACATAAATGCTGTTATGATCCTTTCGAGAACGCCGATACTCCGACGGGTCAAACTTTGACCGAGAAGTTGTAAATGCAGTAGTAGAGATAGATGTAAATCTCGATCCAAGACATCTACACACAAGAATCGATTGCAGCCACCAAAATTATAATAAGTCTATTACGGTCTTGAGCAAGTATAGAGTCATATTACGTGGCATACTGATATAGTAAATCGATTAAGGTCTCGTTTCAAGATAGTCTTCTCGGATAGACAAACCAGAAAAATCACTTGATCATGGACTGGAAGGGCCCGGCCCGGCCCGGCCCGCTCAAGCCCAAAGGGCAAAATTCGGGCTTAAATCAATCTAATTTCCTTTCTCGGCTCGGGCTCACCGGTCAACCTTGATATGATAATCTCTCCTATTCTGTCTTTTGTTTCTATTCACGCGTGGCAGACAGAAATGCCAGGTAAGCTCCCCCCGGCGCTTAATGAGGCGCCAGCTCGGATGACACGTGTGGAGAGCTGAGTCCGTCCGCTATTCCCGCAATGTCTCCCATCTTCTCAACACGTGGCGCCGTGCCAGTCGACAAGTGTATCCCGCCATGCACACCACGTCCATCGATCTCACCCCTCTTCTTCTTCTGCGTGATCTGCACAAGGCCACCGTCGTTCTCGTTCCATATCCCTTCATCAGTTATCGCTTTTGAAAGTCCAAACGCACGACCCACAAGTCTCAGAATCGCACAACACACACAGACTCGAGAGAGCTAACATGGCTTCAGATCAAGTCTCGCGCAGAAGAGAGAACACCACGACCGAGCGAGAGATCCACGTGGAGACCGACAAGGTCCCGAAGATGACGATCCACTTCGAGTCCCTCGCCGACAAAGCTCGAGCCTCGGACCCGGCCGGCGGGAAAGAGACTCCGCACGGCGAGGCCCGGCCGAGGGACGGGTCGCTGGAGCGAGAGGGGAGAGAGACCGCGAGACAGACGGAGACGATGGCCCGACAAGATGGAGAAGGGATGAGGGAGGAGGAGAAGGAGGAGAGGAGTGGTGACAGCAAGCAGCTGGAGTCTTTGGCGGAGAAAGTGAAGACCATTGACGTGGGAGGTCAAAAGGGGGGTCACGAGGGTGGTGAGAGAGGGGGTCGTGGGACGAGAGGAGAGTCACTGGCGGAGAAGGTGGAGAAGACAGAGATTGGCGGAGCGCCCACGAAAGGAGTGAGTAGGGGTGAGGAGGGAGAGAAAGGGAGAGAAAGAGCAGGTCAGGAGGGGAGAGAGAGGAGCGAAGGTGGTCGTCCACATCGCGAGGAAGGTGGAAGGAGGACAAAGAGTGAGACTCTTCAAGTTGAAGAGAAAGGAGGCCAAATGAGAGGAGAAAGTGCCGCAGGTAACCCCCAACTGTTTTTTTTTTTTGGTAAGGTAGTAACCCCCAACTGTTTTGGTTCTTTTACATTGGATTTTGTCAAAGGAGGTTCAACAAGAATGCAAAATTTTGGAATGATGCAGCGATGATATACTGTCACCCTGAATCACTTCATGACAAACTCGTATCAGCACGCTCATCACATGCTTCTATAACAACCATGTAGAACTAGGTAGAACGAAAAAGGATATCTGGTTGTTTAGAATGTAGGTAGCATAAATTAGTAGCGCTTCTCCATTTGTCATAGAAGTTTAACTTTTGCATATTTCGTAAGTTGGGTGGCTTAAGTTCTCTTTGGTTCCGATTTCTTGTCTGCTTGGATCGGCCTTTACGAGCAAACACTATGTGAATAGATGTCACTTTGACTCACTTGGTAATACTTCCCCAGCAACGGAGAGAAAAGGTGGCGAGGAGATGCAGGGCCAAAAAAAAGGCCAAGAAGAAGAAGCACAACCTACTCTAGAAGAAGTTTCGAGATTAAGAGCATTGGCCCAGCAGAATTCGATGGATATACTAAGAGCTGCAGAGGAGCGCTATAACCAAGCCAAAGAACAAGCAAAAGTATTCGCGAACCAAGGATTCGGTAAAGCATCTGAGAAGGCCGCTCAAACAAAAGACACGTTCCTTCACGGTGCTCACGCCACGACCGAGTACGTGGCAGAGAAGGGTGCGGCCGTCAAAGACACAGCCATGGAAAAGGGTCAACAGGGTCTTGGGGCTGCAAAGGAAACCGTGCTCAGTGCTGGAAAAACTGCTAGGGACTACACCGTTCCAAAGACAGAGCAAGCTAAGGACTACACGAGCAAGCAGATGTTTAGTAGAACCATCATGCAAATTCTAGTTGTTGTGTTCTTGATGATGTTCAATTTAGTTTAACAACAGACTGGAACACTGAATGAGAATGGTGATTATGATGGGCTTTTACGCATCACTCACGAACTATAACAACGAAGATCAATGATATTAGGAACTTATAAGGTATTTGTGGGGTTCTGGTCATAGTGGGATGTCCTCGAGTCTTGGATTATATCATGCATGAGATAATTGCTACATTTCCTCATTCAATCGGAAATTGAAACGCTCTGCAGGAAACAGAAGGTGCTGAACAGGCCAAAGGTGTAGTCACACAAGCCAAAGAAATGGTGGAAGGAGGGGCTAGAAAGGCGAAGGAGAGTACCCAGGAAATCCTCGAGGGATCAACCAAGGAGGGAAAGACAGGGACCGGCGAGCAGGTTGTTCAGGGCAAAACAGGACACAGAAAGACCGAGGAGCAGCAGCCCAGAGGCAGTGCACTGGCTGAACAGCCCAAAGGTGTAGTCACACAAGCCAAAGAAATGGTGGAAGGAGGGGCTAGAAAGGTGAAGGAGAGTACCCAGGAAATCTTCAAGGGATTGACCGAGGAGGGAAAGATAGGAACCGGCGAGCAGGTTGTTCAGGGCAAAACAGAACGCAGAAAGACCGAGGAGCAGCAGCCCGGAGGCGGTGTACTGGGTGCAATTGGCGAGACTATCGCGGAGATTGCGCAGACAACCAAGGAGTACGTGGTGGGCCGGGATGAGCCAGGTGGCGAAGAGGCGAACCTTGCCTTCTCGGCCTCCTCTACGGAACCTAGCAAGCAAGGAGAGCATAACCAAGACCGCAGTAAATAGAGGTTGGCCAGGGAAGGTTTCATAGCTGTTTCGATTTAGGATGAAAAGAGGAACGTAGGGTTGAGAGGTGTGCCACGGTGAAACGGTGAGGAAGTAAGAACAAGCGAAGTAAAATAAAACAGTCTGCTAGCTTCTGTTCTAGTGAACTGGTAGATGTACAGTTCAGAGAATGTTTGTTGTATGTCTTTGGTGAATTCCCGTGTAATCTACGATTCTGGTGTAGTTCAAAGTTCATTTTCTGAGTGACCCACCGTGCTTTCTTCTTGTGACGTTAAACATGTGGAAATGGAAACGGCAGATGTACGCAGAAGAAGAGTACATCAAGAAAAGGGATATAATCATACACGTCGTCTGCAAGTAAAAGACGAATTTACTTTGCCAAATTTTCCAGGACATTGTAGAAGATCAGATTTCCCTTTTGTTCATTACATTCAAACCCGATAATCGGCTCTACATCAGGGAGATACGCCCATGAAATCCACGTACAGGAAGAGAGGGGAAATACCAGCCAGCTCTGGAAAAGTTGAAACGATCATCAAAACTGTGATGGGTAATGATCAACAGGGTATCTGAGAAGTGCACCATTCCATGACGTGAAGGGGTGCCTTGATCAGCTCCAGAGCGAACTCCACTAACAGGGTCACGCACAAGCAGCAGGGGCATATCAGAGTCAACAGCAATCTGCAGTGTCACCCACCCATTTTCTCATCTTACTCAATCCACGCAGAAATCAACACCCAGAAACTAAAATCTCTCAAGACAATTTTTTTTTTGGTAAGGAAATCTCTCAAGACAATTGGTAAAAGAGAGAGAGAGAAACGAAACGTACCCGACGATCCAGACGATGATGCCAACGATGGAGACCAGGAGAGCGAGAAAGGCGAAGGGAAGGCCGAGCAGGAAGCCCAGCGGTCTGCAATCGTCTCCGCCGCACATCCTCTCTACTCTCTGGTGCAGCGAATCCTACTGCCTCTGATGTTTCTTCCTCTGGAAAAGTTGATGAGACAGAAACATACGTTCAGTCTCTGTGCACAAACTCGGTTTTAAGAACCACTTCCAACCACCCGTTGCTCTAAAAAGGATACCTGCCCCATGATGCTGTCGTGTGATGGTTTCGGATTTTCGTCGCGCTATAGAGAACCCAAGAAAGTCCCTGATAAAGTTCAGAACTTTTGCTTTGAGACGTGAGCTGCGATTGCTGATGCTGCAATACGTGTAAGGCTCGTAGGATCATCACGTGTGACTTCAATTTCTGCTGATGATTCTCATTCTAATTCTTGAAAGCAGTGGGCTGCGTTATTATATGGGCGGAAGGGCCACCCACGTCTCTCCATCTTGGGAACTAAGCATTCCCATTGGCGAAACCCCACAGATCATCCTCAGCCTCCAGTCATCCCATTTTCGTTTTCCAATCGTGTATCGACGCAGCATATTAGTCATTTTTGCTATGATCGATCCCTTCGAATGTAACATGAAGTTTTAACATGTTCGAGTCAAACCATGCATCATCTTGAGATACTCTCCCATCAAATATAATGTCATCGCCATGCTTACCGAGGGCCAGTCGCCTTCATGGCAGCTAGCTCCTTTCTCTCTCTCTCTCTCTCTCTCTCTCTCTCTCTCTAATTATTTTATAGTTTTGACTTTTCGCATTCTTATCTTTAATATCATCCTCTTCTTTGGTATCCTATCCGGCCGATGACTTCTCTAGGCAGTATCCTGTGTAAATCCGCAAATATCCTGTTAGAAATCAAGGGAAATACTCGCCTAGACCCAAAATAAACAGTACCGATCCACCCGATCAAGTGGACCCGGATACGAAATTCCCTCGCCATCAAACATCGGATACGATAATTTTACCTGTCCAAAGCTCTATATCTAGGCTCACCAGAGTCTAAGATCAAACAAGAAACTGGTCACGAAGAGAACCAGCCTAAGGAGAAAAGCAGAAAGTGCACACGGCTTTAAGCTGGCAGACATCACACGGCAAAGTTCCCTTGTATCCTACTAGTACTAGCTTGTCCAAAAAAGCTAAAAAAGAAAAAAATAATTAAAAGGGTGCAACAGCAAATTTACGAAATATTAACTTATGTAGTATTTACATCTCAATAGGACTGTGGAGAAAGGCACAGAACACCATGCTTGCCGAGATAGTTGCTGATTTAAAGAAAGATTTTCCTTAAAGTTCCCAATAGCAAGTAGTCATTTGTCACCCGGCGTTCCACACCGCCGCTGATGTATGTAGTCAGTGGTAGAAAATATTCGCACCCAAGCAATTGCCACAGTCATATGAGTGAACTTGTTTCACCTGATCTGATCGAATCATCTGGTGGGTCCACTTGAACCAGAGTTCTCACTCTCCATGGATATGATGTGAGCCAGCCTATCGTATACCTGCCCTGATTATTTCACAACCATAAGTGCCAGGTATCAATGAAACTCGCAAACATTTGGTACAATCATCTGAAAGACCTCATACCACAGAAAGCTGCTCCTTCCTATCTTGCTTATTTGTTGATGATGATGCGTACCTTGTGAAATGGTTAAAGGAGAAAATCAAAAGAAGGTAATAGGAAAGCAGAAATTTTGATTGGTGTTTTTTCTTACCAGTCACGAGGAATACCAGCTTCGTCTCGAGCTGAATAATTGAAAGGGCCCTTCAACTCTACGCCATACTCTCTCAATATGTCTGCATTGAGAAAGTTGAATCAGCAAAGGTTTATGGGTCCACAACAGAGCCCTGAGGGGGTAGGTCCTCAACCTTTGAAAGTGGAGCAAGGAGCACGGTTCATTTTCTGACAAACAGAGATAAACCAATCGACACCAACGGCTACATGAGCTGTTTCCTCGTCAGCGATCCTACCCACGATTTTAGATGTCATGTTGTCACCGAAGCCGACCAATTTTTGCACCAAACGTGGCCCAGCATCAAGCCCCCTGGCCTCCTGAATGAAAGGGAAAAAGAAATTCTGTACATTTGAGCAGGTATGGCAAGTTGCAATCAGCAGTTATACTGCGGAATTACATAAGATATAGTGAGTTGGATGATCTTCGTTTTCGAATGTTAACTAGTTAATGCGTAATACTGAGGTGAGCAGAGCAGCATCCAGGTGAAGCACACTCTTCTTCTCACCCTCCTGAAGGAACTTTTTAAAGGACAAGATGAATGTCCAACTAGCATATAGCAAATTTAAGCCAGGACAAGAAGATGGCACAGTATAATGGCGATGCCAAAGAATCGAAGAGCTAAATCAGGAGAAGTATGCATAACCTTATTTCTCATAGCGGAAGAGAAAAAGACAAATGGAAAAGCAAGAGTCATTGGGCCCATCATTGGAAGAGAACGCTTTGTGAAGCTCGTCATAACAAACAATCAACAACTACTCAAATGTGAAGGGTTACCTGAACTAGTGGGATCACTGCCAAACGAGCAGCAACACTATCAGAGGATTTCTCACACTCTCTCCAAAGCAAATTATGAGCAGGAATATCTCCATACCTAGGTAAACAGAGAGAATATGATGAAGGCATACTGGTCGCACAGGCTAGAACGAATTTGCTAACCCAAAAGTTCCCCGGACCTGAATCCAAGCTCCAGAAGCCTCTGAGAGCACCAAGCAAAATGGCGACTCTCATCATCAGCAACGCGAGCAAAGTCCGCAAAGAATCCTTCCCCAAGAGTCTCGAAGAAAGGTGAAAACCGAACCACAGTATCCCATGCCAAATCAATTGCATTCAGCTCCACATGAGCAAGATTATGCAGCATATAGGCATTAAGCGGTACTCCTGATTCTTTAGGGGGCGGTATATCCTTTGGGGAAACCTACAGTAAAGAACAGATGAGAAGACAGGTGAGAGTCTCAGACTTACTCACAGGCCAGCAATTTACCATGTAAACAGCATCTCAAGATCCAAATCTCGACTCCTTAAATTCTAAACTGGCAAAAACAGCGGGAGGTCGATCATCAGTGAGAGACCGAGATTCCAATCACATGGAGGGCAGAAAACCCTCCAACAGCGCATTAACTAGGCAACATCCAATTTTTCGTGCATTGCAAGTAAAAGCGGATAATAGTCCCTGCATTGCTGCAGTATTCACAAATAATGCAGTTTCTCGGTTTTAACTTCAGGTCAAGCTTACTGAGACCAACGGTACTAGCAATTAAAATAAAATGCCTCCATATGATGCTCAGGAAATAAGAAACAGTTACCGCCGAGAACTATCGCACACAAAACTCCGGCTCTACAGTATCATAGCATAATAACAACCAGTGATAAATCAGTACTAACATCGAAATCCTATAGCTGGAAAAAGCCCGAGCATATATATATAGGTATATGTATTCATAAAAAATGCAAGCTTCGAACTATGGGGCCAAGCAATACATTTCCCAGGAAATGCATCACAACTTCAAGTCCATCAACCGCCTAAGCCGACTTCACCTCAACAGCGACAACACCAACCCCAGAATGCACTGAAAAGAACCCACACCCAGAATTCGAAACTCTCGAAAGTCTATGCCTTTTCAACAATTCAATACAAAAGAAAAACAAGAGCTACCAATTCAGGCTTCGCAGGCCTGGCCGGTCTATCAGGGGGCCGAGAGACCCCAACAGGCAGATTCTCGCTCCGCCACCTGCAATACGCGAGATGGGAAAGCTCGGACTTCGAAGCGGGGTCGCTAGTGGAAAGAACGAGAGCACCCATTTCAGCCAGGGAAGAAGCCGACCCGACTGCGCTCTGTTTCGGGTCGAGCGACGGACGGGGCGGCTTGGGCAGGGGCTGCGGTCCGTTGGGTCCCCAGAACCGGTCGTGGTTCAGCGAGCTCTCCCGCCATGACTGGAGACCCGACCACGGCGTGTAGCCGATGCAAGAAGGTGGCGAGGAGGACGTGGAGGACGAGGATGTCAGAGGCTTGGGTCGGAGGGCTGATGAGGAAGACGACCTAAGAGAAGGAGGAGGGCGTGAGACTACGAGCTTGAGGCACTGCATCATATTCATCTCTTCGAGCCTCGCATTTCATTGCGTTCCGAAAAATAAAAGAGAGGAAAATGAACTTTTGAAGCAAACTTTTATCCTTCTAGACCTATGCTAAATTGGACGGAATTAAAAAAAATTGGACTTGATTGTATTAATTCGATAAATTTTAAAACTATATGGTATTAATTGAAATTTTTTATTGTATTAATTGAAAATACAATTTAGCGATAAACTTTAAGATTTCTAGTATATTTATTTATTGAATTTTAGGTACAAATAGGGTTGTGTAAAAGAACACAGAACCGTCCAGATCGGACCGGTCATAACCGATAGTCTCCATAAGGATTGGTTCGGTACTAAAAACGGTGAGTACTGGTCCGGTTCCCTGTTATAGGCGTGGAATTGCCCACTTACTCACCTAAGCCAAATATATATTAGAAAAAATTCCACCATTAACTATAACTTCCTAGAAAATTTGGCAAGAACTTGTGCTAATTAAAATACAAAGGCTTGCTCTCGTATATCCTTTAAGATTTATGAAGAGTATTAAATGTCAATTTCATTCATGTGTCTATCGAGCGAGTAGAGTTTCATTTCCTAGTTCGGCTAGACTTGCGCATACGTTGTTTAGACCTATGTGAGATTCGTGATTGATTTGATCTGCACATGCCAATTGAAAAGGCATTATAGCATTAAGATTTCCAAGGTATAGATGTAAGGTTGTTTTTCCTTGATCAATTAAAGGCATAACAAACCGGTTTACACCAATGTTAATTGCAAACTGATATGTGTTCGAATATGTATATATACCTTTTCCCTTGTAAAAAAGTTCTTAATATTGATGGATGAATTTAATTTTGTTGGTCCATGGAACAAATGAGCAATTTCCTAGTTTCAATATTATGAAACCGATCTTTAGCGAGCAATTCCCGATTCTAGGTGAGCTCCGCCCGGCCGAACCATGTTCACATCTAGATACGAAATGTTCGCAAACCTTTGAGAAGCTGCGAGTGTTCAGAGACTGATCGATCGCTGCCCATGGCGGGATGGCAGCCATCTTCCGAAACTTCAGGACCGCGCGCTCATCCCTCCGACACATTCCTAGGCAGCTCCCTCCATACGCGGCGGACCGAGACCTCCGTCGGCCGTATGGGAGCTCCTTCCCTCTCTCCGAAGACCGGAAGCAGCTCGAGTCCCGCCTCGTCTCCCTCCTCGACGGCCGCCACGGCCTCCCCCGGCTCAAGCAGGTCCACGCCCACCTCTACCGCAGGGGCCTCGACCAATGCTGCTACGTCCTCACGAAGCTCGTCCGCGCGCTCACCGAGCTCGGCGTCCCCGTGGGCTCGTACCAGCGCCTCGTCTTCGGCCAGGTCCAGCACCCGAACCCGTTTCTATACACCGCCCTCATTCGTGGGTACTCGGCGCAGGGCCCGTTTAGGGAGTCCATTGGGTTGTACGCGAGCATGAGGGAGGAGGGTGTCGGCCCCGTGTCGTTCACGTTCACGGCGTTGCTCAAGGCTTGTGGTGCGGCTCTTGATTTGGATCTGGGGCGCCAGGTGCATGCCCAGACGATGCTGATTGGTGGGTTCTGCTCTGATTTGTATGTGGGGAACACGTTGATTGGTATGTATGTGAGCTGCGGCGATTTGGGTAGTGGGCGTAAGGTGTTTGACGAAATGCTGCACAGAGATGTTATTTCCTGGACGACGTTGATAGTGGCGTACACGAAGACCGGCGATATGGCGTCTGCTGGGGATTTGTTTGATGGGTTACCGGTGAAGGATATGGTGGCTTGGACGGCGATGGTTACTGGGTTTGCGCAGAATGCCAAGCCGAGGGACGCATTGCAGTTTTTCAAGAGAATGCAGGATGCTAGAGTCGAGACGGATGAGGTTACATTGTCTGGTGTTATCTCGGCTTGTGCTCAGCTGGGTGCGGCTAAATATGCTCAATGGGTTCGGGATGTTGCCGAAAAATCTGGACTTGGACCGACTGAGAACGTTGTTGTGGGATCGGCTATGGTCGATATGTACTCAAAATGTGGCAATATAGAGGATGCATACACGATCTTTAAAGAAATGAAGGAACGGAATGTGTATACATATAGTTCAATGATTCTAGGCTTTGCGATTCATGGCCTTGCTCAAGCAGCGATGCAATTGTTCCATGAGATGGTAGAAACAGAGACAAAACCTAATAAAGTTACTTTTATAGGTGTACTTGTAGCTTGCAGCCATGGTGGAATGGTAGATCAAGGCAAAGAAGTATTTTCATCGATGGAAAAGCGCTATGGTGTTGTTCCAGATGGTGATCACTATGCTTGCATGGTCGATATTCTTGGTCGTGCTGGACATTTGAATGAAGCACTTAAACTTACTGAGACGATGCCTGTAAAACCCCATGGAGGGGTGTGGGGAGCACTTTTGGGGGCATGTCGTATCCATAGGAACCCTGACATTGCTCAAATTGCTGCGAGCCATCTTTTTGAGCTCGAACCTCATGCAATTGGAAACTATATGGTTCTGTGTAACATATTTGCATTGGCTGGTAGGTGGGATGATGTTTCAAATGTGAGGAAGTTGATGAGAGGGAAGGGATTAAAGAAGAATCCTGGTTGTAGCTGGTTTGAGTCAAAGAAAGGGGAGATACACGAGTTCTTTGCAGGTGATACGAAGCATCCGAGGTCTAGTGAGATAAATGGAGTGTTGGTGGATCTTCTGGAGAGATTAAAGGGACATGGTTACCAGCAGATCCTGAGTTCAGTGGCTTATGATGTAAGTGAGAACGAGAAGAAGAGAATATTGATGGGTCACAGCGAGAAGCTGGCTCTGGCATTTGGGCTGATGGATTCTAGCGCAAATTGCCCTATCAGGATCATGAAGAACCTCAGAATATGTGAAGACTGTCACTCTTTCATGTGTGGTGTATCTCATATTATTGGGAGGGAGATTATCGTAAGAGATAACATGAGATTCCACCATTTTAAAGGTGGGACTTGTTCTTGCGGTAATTTCTGGTGAACAGATCAAGTATACACATTGCCGGAAGTCTTTGCTGTGACAGCAGTTGTACGTTATTGCTCCTATTATTATAAATGAGCTCCTTGATTTGCTTCTTGTGATTTTACTAGTACTATCATGCTATTGTTAGATTCTGTTCCTTAGAGGGCTCAAGAGAGATTGCTTTGATAAAGTGCTTCGTTGGGTAGGTTCAGTTCTCTTCTCTCACGTACTTGTATTCCTTTTTTGATCGTCTCAAGTAAAACTGCAGTTTATCGAGCTTTTGAGGTGATGGCACGACTTCGTAATACATTAAACGCTGAGAAAGTCTTGATGCTATTCCCACGTCTCAAAATTTGAGTCCAACATGTTTGCGGTTCTTTTAGGTCTTCCCTTTTGCCTTTTCTTTCCTTTTTGGATATTAGCATTTTGTTAAAATATGGTAATATACGTGGTCCGGCAATATTTTAGGCTAACTTCTTCGCACCTTATCACCTATGGATCCAATCAACGTCGTGCCCATCATTATTAAATGAAGGAACTCGAAACAAGTTACTTCCTCTTGGTTTAATCTCAAAAAAGTTTGTGCAGAATTGAAATCGAACCCGTGACTTCAAACTTGACACTGATATAGGTTAACGGTAGTGGCGGTGAATGCCCTGTTTAAAGGCAAAAGAGTTCGTGGCAATGGAGTATAGCTGATTTTCTGAGTCTTTTTTGTGGGTCTCTCACTCTCCTCCACTATTTAGAAAGACACTTCAAATCTCTCTCGTTGGCTTAGTGGAGAAACCTTACATCCTTAGATTGCATTCGAACATCAGCACCAGCGTACGACGCCCTTTCCCACCAAATTGTAGTTTTTGTCGAGTGCCGGAAAGCGAGCCATCTTGTCCTGAGTGGCGACTAATTTATAGTTTTCAGATTATCCATTTGTCAAATATTGCCTCGAGAGGCTATTGGTAGATTATTGGGATTCTAACCTACCAAAGTCAAAATGCATTCCGACAAAAAAAAAAGTCAAAATGTATGAAAAGTTATAGCTCCACTCCACCTCAAATCCATGGCCAGCAAAATTTTATTGTTGCAATATCCTAAAATCACGTCGACACTAATTAGTGACACAACCATGTTTTTAACAAGCTACGTAGTTCATCTTCAATTTGGAACCTATGCCCTAGATGGGATTGCTTGAATTTGGAGAAACACTTGCACGGACTAGTTCCATGGATCGGGCATAAAGATAGGATTTAGATCACGTGGGACTTATATAGAACTTACTATTGCTGATGATCATGATTGATTCAATTTTCCGTATATCAAATATATATAAAGAAGTATTTTACTTGAATTTGAAACTACTATATATTCCGCTTATCGAGTTGAAACGGAAATGCTAGTTTTGGGAAACATCATATTATGCGAGTATCGCCAATAGTAAATTACATGTCCATATCAAACCAACAGCATTGGGACTTCTAATGCCCCATTTGCCTGGTCAATGCCCACAAAGTTAAATTTGTCAAACTACTTGGATCGCTGTCATTATTGACTGATTAAAGTCTACCATACTAATTGCATAAATGAGTCTTAGGTTGTGATTAGCTCCCCATATTTTACAGAGATTTTGTGAGCGAAGCACTCGTTAAACAACTAATTGATGAGGATAACTTTACACTTTTTGATGCACTGTCTCTTCTTGTTATAGTGTTATTAAGTTAGAGAGTAAGTTATTTCAAATTAAGCATAAACATGACTAGTGGTATAGTATTGTATTTTATATTACATTACTTCGCGATTAGCTACATTGTGAGCATTGCATGTATAAGCCGTATTTTAAGAGAGAGAGGTGTTTCAAATACTGAATATAAGTTAGAAGATGTATTACTCTCATAGCTTAGGAACTATATGCGAGTGAAAAACATAGGACTCTTGAACCTTCTGGTGCCAGTGTGTTGACACCTAAATTTTGTCCAAATCATTTAGGGTTTTATCGCATAAAAATTAGGGTTTAATCTTTTAACCCCTTAACAAAAATATTTTCATTAAATTGCATGGCA